CGTGACGTCAGAGGCTGGCGCGTGGCCTCAGGTGACCGGGCCTCCCTGTGGGCCTGGCTGAGGCGGCGACCAAGCAGGGATGTGACCGACTGTGGAGATGCTCCGAGACTGTGTGTTTACCTGTTTATTTATTTTTTAAATATTTTTATTGATTCCAGAGAGGAAGAGAGAGAGAGAGAGAGACAAGCATCAATGACAAGAATCATTGATTGGCAGCCCCACATTGGAGGATGGAGCCCTGACCCAGAATCACACCCGGGACGTCCCGGTTCATAGGTCAAAGTTCACCCCTGAGACACCCGCCCAGCAGGTTGTGCACCACCCTCTGAGGTGGGTGCCATTATCCGGTCGGGTTCGAGTAAGGAGCGAGAAATGGAAAAAAACCACTCTGTCCTCGCTGGTTTGGCTCAGTGGACACCTGGCGGGGTCCCGGCTGGTTGGAGCGGCCTCCCCGACACCAACAGGTTGCGGGTTCGATCCCCGGTCAGGGCACACGCCTGGGTAGCAGGTTCAGTATCCGCTCGGGGTGAGTTTGGGAGGCAACCAATGCATGTTTCTCTCTCCCTCTCTCCCCATCCTCTCCACCTCTCCCAAATCAATACATTTAAAAAAAAAAGAAAAGAAATGGCCCTGGCCGGTGTGGCTCAGTGGATAGAGCCTCGGCCTGCGGACTGAAGGGTCCGGGTTTGATTCCGGTCAAGGGCACAGGCCTGGGTTGTTGGCTCGATCCCCAGTAGGGGGCGCGCAGGAGGCAGCCGATCCATGATTCTCTCTCATCATGGATGTTTCTATCTCTCCCTTCCTTTCTGAAATAAATTAAAATATTAAAAAAAAAAGAAATTGTATGTGCCTGGGAATATTTTGGGGTATGACTGACAGGCTGCCTGAGGTAGGGTGTGTGCACATACCTATGCGACAGACTGTCATTTTTGTCAGGGGGACTGAAGTGTGGAGGATTTGCAGTGTTTATCAAGGATATGACGAAGAATTTGTGTCTTGCCTTGTCCGCAGCGGAAATCGTGTGACCAGCGGTTTATGGATAGGTCCCCCGGTGCCTTCTGGGAGCTGGCGTCCGCTAAGGGTCTGCGGAGCCATCAGGTTGGACGTTCCCTGCATGTTTGCTGTGAGCCTGGCCTGCGCTGGACACACAGCATGGATCGCCTTGGGTAACCTCACCACCACCCTCTGAGGTGGGTGCCATTATCCGGTCGGGTACGAGTAAGGAGCGAGAAATGGAAAAAAGCCACTCTGTCCTCGCTGGTTTGGCTCAGTGGATAGAGCAGTGATTCCCAAAGTGGGCGCTACCGCCCCCTGGTGGGC